CCCACCAGGCACCCCCACCCCACCAGACGCTCCTCACCCTGCTGATGACCCTCACCTTGTCAGTCACCCCCACCCGGCCAGATGTCCTCCACCCTTCTAGATACTTACCACCCTGTCAGGAACATCCCACCCTTGTTATAGACCTGACCCTGCCAGGCACCCCCCACCTCACCATGCACCCCCACACCCTGCCAGGTGTCCCTCATCCTGTCAGGTGTCTCCTACCCCGCCAGGCACCCTTGTGCATAGGGACCCTCTTTGAGTGAGATGCAAGGAGCTCCTCTATGTCTGCCTGCAGCTCAACCTTGAAGTGGCTCGATCACTGCTCTCTCCTCTGTCCAGTGTGGCTACTGACCCCTCCTCCTCTCCCTTTGAGGACTGGGGACTCTGCTACAGCAGATACACATAGCATGTCCGTCCTCAGTGAAGCCCTGCTTGCGAGCCTAGAGCCACACACCTGTCTCCGCCTTCCCTCACATCTTGTTGTCCCACCTGCTCTGCCCCCTCCTGATGCCTCCTGTGTGCTGAGGTCCCTCTGTAAGGTGGCTTGGGGCCCCCTGGGATTGCTGTCTCCCCATGACTGGGGGGACTAAGGTGGCTGGGGGTCTTGTGGACAGGGCAGCAACTGGGGAGCATTGTAGCCTCAGCTCTATCTGTCCCTACTGAACCCCAGTGAAAGCCAGACAGGATCCACGAGCCCATCCACAGGGCTCCTCTGAGACACAGGATGACGGGAGACAAGGAAGCAGACAGGGCCCACCTGGAGTGCACTGGGGAAATCTGAGTGTCTGGAGCAGCTATGACGACGTCAGAGGGCATGGAATGCTGTGACGTCAGCTCGCCCCAAACCCGGTCCCGTCCTGGGTTTTCACGCTTCTCTTCCAGGACCTGCTTTACTCCCTCCAGCCCCCAACACAGACACACAGGCACAAACAGACAGACAGACAGATACTCACACAAATGCAGACACACAGAGAGATGCAGGTTGATAGAAACAGACATGCCCACATGTGCACGGCGGTCCTCAAGTCGGCTCTGACCCTCGTTAGTGTCATCTGAGCTGTGTCAGTGACTGTGTCAGTGCTCATTCGTGTCTGAAAAAGGATGAGGCCGACACAGGACAGGAAGGTTCAGACATGAAGTTGCAATGCAATATTGCAAAGTTGTGATATATAAGGTAACGGGGAAATGTGATGTAATCATCGTCCACAGTGTCCTGACAGACTGTACTCAATCAGCTGAAGTCGCACAGACGTTGTGGTGTTAGATGCTGTCACATCGACACAAACCAGCAACTCCAGCTGAATCCTGCCTGCATGCAGTGCCCCATCCCACACCACCCTCACAGACTACACCGCATGTAGACCCACTGTGTGTCACGGTGCCAATCCATTTTGTTGAGGACCTTCCTCTCCTCGCTGGGCCTCAACTCTCCGAGCATGAAGCCCTTCTCCAGGGACTGGACTCTCATGGTTCCAGGCTCAAAGTAGCTGAGATGGGTCTCACCATCCTTGCTTCCTGGATGGATTTCTTTCAAGTAAGATTTATGGTTCTTGATAAATTCAATACTCTTCGACAATGCCTCAGTTCAAGGGTAGAATTTCTTCTTCAGCATTCCATATTCATTATCCAACTTTCATTCATATGGAACAGTTGAAAATATCTTGACTGTGTCAGGTGCACCTTAGTTTTAAATATGACATCCTTGCTCTTTAGTATTCTAAAGAGGTCTTTGACAGTAGATTTGCACAATGCAAACCAAATGTCTTTTGATTTCTTGACTGCTGCTTCTATGGGTGTTGGATCCAAGTTAAAGGAAATACTTGACAGCTTCAATCTCCACATATCATGATGTTATTTACTGGTCCAGTTGTGAGAATTTTTGTTTTCTTGAGGTGTCATTCATAGTGCAAGTTGTGGTCTTAATCCTCAGGAAGTGCTTCAAATCTTCACTTTCTTCAGGATTATGTCACAGGCACAATACAGGTTGTGGACGAGTCTTCCTCTCATCTTGATGCCACATTCTTCTTCATTAAGTCTAATTATTGGCTCAGCAAACAGATGGTCTAGGCTTGGAGAAAAGCTACAACCCGGACACACACCTTTTTTTATGTTAAAGCATGCAGTGTTGTTCCCTTTCTCTGTTGGAATGACAGCATCTTCAGAGTTCTACATGAACACAGTTAAATGTTCTGGAATTCCCATTCTTCTCAATTTTATCTGTAATTTCTATCATCCACATGGTTGAACGCATTTACATAGTCAGTAAAACACAAAGAAAGAGATTTCTGGTACTCTCTGCTTTCAGCCAACATCCCTCCAACCCAGATGTTTTACAGCCTCTTCTGAGTCCAGGTTGACATGTGTGCGAATGACGGGTGGACCACAGATCTAGTTCCTTGCAAATTATGAGGTCAGAGCAGACACAGAGACACACTCAGGAGGAAGACAGACCTGTGAGGACCGCTATTAGAAAAGGCTCACCAAGGGAGGCCGACAGACACCAGGAGAGAGGCCACAGGGAATCGACCTAGTGAGGTGGACCAGACTAAAGCCTCCTGAGTGTGAGACAATGCCTTCCTGCCCCACAAAGTCACCACATGTAAGGTTGGGTTATGGCTGCACCAGGACACCAAGGCAGGGATCCAGGGGCCAGAGCCACCATGGAGAGAGAAGGTCAGCCAGGTAGGAAGAAGAGGGGTGCATGTGATGGGTACTGCCAAGGGTCTTTGTCCAGGATGAGATGTTTGCCATCACTCAGAAGTCCAAAACAGAGTCGATATGGAACAAGTGGTCTGAGCTGGGCCGAGGCCTGCATGTGGGCCTGGAGTGGACGTGACTGGGGGACAGATTATGGAAGTGGGTGGTGGGGGTGAAGTAGAGACTCAGACATGAAGGGGGCATGAAGACTATGGACGTGAAAGGACCAGAGATGATGGATGTGAGGGACAGAGGAGTCTGCGGTCGTGAAAGTGGGGGGGGGCATGGTTATAAATCAAGGAGAGACTATGGATGTGACAGAGGAAGAAACAAGGGCTTTAAGTTGAGAAGAGACTGTGGGCGTGGGTGGAGAAGAGGCTGTGGATGTGGATGTGGGAAGGGGAGGCTGCGGGTGGAGGTGGAGAGGCTGTGGGGGAGGAGAGGCTGTGGATAGAGGAGGAGAGACTGTGGATGTGGGGAGGAGAGGCTGTGGACGTGGGGGAAAAGAGTTGACTGGAACCAAGGTGCAGTTGTTTTTCTTTCCCATTCAGGAAATGGGAATGTTGTGATAACATTATTGCAAAAAAAAGTTCCTCAAGTGAATCAACCCTGAGAGCAGGGAGGGCTGATCACGCCCAATCAAGAGCATCTATATACTAGAGACAGCTATCAAGTCACCACCTGCCTGGGATTGTGCAGGCCCCTGTGAGAGGGGGTTGAAGGGGAGGGATCCATCTGGAGCTGGGGATAAAAGGCAATGGTGCTCATGACAGACAGCTAGAGCTTGGAAGATGCTGGTCCTCCCAGCTATGTCGCTGGGCCTGCTGTCTGCACGGCACACCGAGGAGCCCCAGCTGGTCCTGGCCAGCCCCAGCGAGGTGATGGGCTGAGGACGGTGGCATGAGAAGCTATCTTTCCAAGATCATCAATGGATCATTCCATTGGTCAGGACCCTGGTGACTTGTCGGTCAATGGTGTGTCGCTTCCCGTGGAGGGCACAAGGCAGTGTCTGGACAAACGTGGTGCTCCCTTCCTGCCCCTTCCCCATAGACAAAGTGAAGCTGCCCTTCCTGAAAAGCCATGGTCAGTGCCAAGGAAGTGCTAGCATCTTGCTGGGCATTATCAATCAAGTGACCAGCAAATGTTCTTGAATATCCAAGATACAGCTTCAGAGAGCCCCAGCTATGACCTCTATGTTGCTTGAACCCAGTCATCTGGTTATCAAGGAAAGACAGAGGAAATGACTAAGAGATAAAGGGATGATGATAGATGGATGGATTAGTGGGTGGATGCAGGGTTAGGACTCAGATTGAGGGATGGATGGATGGGTGAATGGATGGATAGATAGATGGATGGATGAGTGAGTGGATGGGCAGATGAATGGATGGATGAATATATATGGATGGAAGGATGGATATGGATGGATGGATGATGGATGATGGATGGATGATGGATGGATGGATGGATGGATGGATGGATGGATGGGTGGATGGATGGGTGGATGGATGGATGATGGATGGATGGATGGGTGGATGGATGATGGATGGATGGGTGGATGGATGGATGATGGATGGAT